ACAAAACCCACACAGAAGCCCAGGCTTCACCCTCGAATCGCTCAATGTGCACCATCATCTTGCCCTCGCATCATCCTACACACACACACACACACCCCCCTTGTCCCCACTGCCGACTGGGCACCCCTGGAGCTGGGATTCTGACCTGAAGGACTCTGCTGAAGCCCTGCGGCACAGCTGTGGCACACCTAGTGGAAGGCCGGCCCCTGTCCAAATCAGATGGCTCGGGCTTCTGATCACACGGCCATGTCACGTGTCAGACAAGCAGCTCTCCTTCCACCTCTCTTTCAACTCCTTGTCTCCCCAAACCTTTCCTGTTGCATGCAGTCCCTGGCCTCGGCCCCCTTCATTCTTCTCCAGCACAGCTGAGACTCCTGCCCCCCAAGCTCTGCAGGACAATGAAGTCGAATGGCTGTGCAGGCTCCTCCTGGGCCCACAAGGTGACAGGGACAGAGTACCTGGGGCTGGCGGTGAAGTAGTGGTCCTCTGGGTCCTCCGAGTACTTCTTCCTCGGCTTTGCCAGGACAGGTGTTTCCTGCACGATGGTCTGCAGGTCCGAGGTCACAGAATGTGAAATGCCGCTGGGGAGACCCGGAAGGGAACACAGCTCGAGTCAGACCCCTGCCCTCACCCAAGAACAAGGCGTTTTAAAACCTAGACCCCGGACAGAACCAAGCGAGGGGGTGAAAACACAAGCGACCAAAGCCATCACTTTGGGAGGAGGGGTGTATGTCCTTAAAAGTAGGAAACTATTATGGTCTTTGTTTTAACTCATTAATCTTGTTAGACCTGCATATATTTGTTTGTATAATTAAGAGTGTTTGATGCATGAAAGTCAAGATAGAGAACCCTTCAGAAACAGTAATGGGAGTAATGATTCCCTGAGGGTACAGGAAGAGAGGAAGGGAGAAGAGGCGGAAGGGGGAGCTGAACAAGTAACAGAAGTGCAGGGGAATGGCTACACTGGATAGTATAAGATACAGCAAATAATAATAACATATAATAATAAGGGTTCCTGGGGAGCAGGGTGGGGGAGGGAGGGGGATGAAGGGGAGTTGATATCAAAGAGTTCAAGAAGAAAGAAAATGTTTTGAAACTGATTGTGGTAGTCATTGTAAAATTATGCTTGATCTAACTGAATGAAGGATTGTTATAATATCTGTAAGAGCTACCAATCAAATGATTAACAGTTTTTTAAAAGTACAAAACTCCTTGAGTCGTGTGAATGGATTAGATAAAACAAGGGATGCCGGCAGCCCCGCCCCCGGCGGGCGCTCGCTGAGTCAGATTTGGAGTGGGGTGTCTCTGCTCCCCAGAGCTGAGTTTGGATTGTGTCTCGCCCTGTTGCGTGTCAAGTAGAAAGAAAAACAAGGCAGTGAGAGAAGGCCGGCCAGGATGAGAAGAAGATATATACAGTATATTCCGAGGGTGGGTGGCGGCAGCGTGCACGCACGTAGGTACGTACCTCCTGCAGCTCCCGAACCCCATGCCCAGTCTCTCAGACTCCACTTTCCTTTTGCCACTGGCGTCCACCTTTGCGTCCTTCTTCATCTCAATGTCCAGGTCCTTATAGGCCAGTCGTAATGAGGACACACTGCGGGGCAGACCAAAGACGCCTGGTTGTGGTCACAGTTCCGACCCAGGGTGGCTCTGTGCACAACCCAGGGAGACACCACCTGGCCCTGCACCATCCTCACCATGGTTCCTCTGCCTGAGCCCATTGCTGCAGCCACTGTGTCCGTCCACCTGGTCAAGGACCTTTCTCTTTTTCACTGTCCCTCCGCTTTACCAACCATGATGTCCTCCTCCAGGGACAGGTCTCTCCTGACTACATGTCTAAATTGCGTGAGATGAAGTCTCGCCATCCTTGCCTCACGGGGTTCTTAAGTGATAATGCGGTTGGAAATTAAACCTGCCTCTGTGCTGCGTTTGGTAAGCGAGGCCCTAGAACCCACTCCCGACAACTGGGATGGGCTTACGGCCACTTGGGGGTTGCTGCCGCTGCCGCCCACATTGAGGGTCAGTTTCAGTGAGCTGACCCTGTGAGTCACCTCCCACTCAATCACAGTGTCACACCCACCTGTTTCTGGGTGTGCCAATCCCAAACCGCCCTGACCCCTACCCTGCCCTGCCACGTGACGCCAAGGAAGTGAGGTGGGCCTCCTGGGCCTGACTTGATTCAAGGTACCTTTCAGGTAACGTACATATTTACATCGGCTTTGCATAGTTGCAGATCCACGGGAGCTCCAGGAAAGGAGCGGCTACTTGGTTGTAAAGGGGTCCTCTGCTTAGGGAACCAGGCTGCCAACCCCAAACTCAAACAAGTGTCTGTGTGTTAGTGGATGTGGAAGAGTCCCCAAACCCAACTCCCTTCCAGCCAATCCATGCTGACTCTTAGTGAGCCCTACAGGGCAGGGCAGAACTGGCCCTGTGGGCTTCTTGACGGGAGTCGAGAGCCCCGTCTTTCTTTCTCCCAAGAAATAAACCGCTGACTCTGCAGTGAGCAGCCTCCTGCATACCACTCGGCCACCAGAGTTCGCCTGCTGTTAACAACTGGAAATGTGACTGGTGTGCTGAGATTTAGCTTGCTGAGAGGGACGTGGGATGTAACAGTCCCTGCTCCTAGAGTGAACGCCTCTTAAACCTACGAATTATTCAAGGCCTGGGCCTGTTGAAACCCCTGTTTAATTATTCAGGATGCTCCTAATTCAGGGAAGGGAAGGGGAAGCAGGACCATTTAGATAAGCAGTGGGGCCCCAAACCTTAGGGTGAGGAATGACGATCTCAATTGATGCTGACAGTCCCTGGGGGAATGTGAACAGTTTCCTGGGAGCCTCACTCCCTTAGCCCCATTGCTAGAAGCTTGTTAACTGCCCAATCCCACATCCCGCCACAAAGTTTGGGATACATAACTTGTTTGGATCTTTGAAAACAGCTGGGGAAGTGGGAACCTGGCTGCTCTCCTACGGCAGGCTCTGGCAGGGAGGCACTCAGACTGTCTCCGGTCCACCTGGGCTACAGTGGCGGGCTCTCCGGCGCCCCCTGCAGCCCAACAACAGCATCAGCACCTCAGCCAGTTATGGTATGGGCTGGCTTTCGATGTCTAAACACACACAAGACGTGGACGCTGTGGGCCTTAAGAGGGAACAAGGCACGTGAACTGGTGAGTGGAAACCCAAAGGGGGAGCGTTCACTCAGAGCACGAAGAAAAGTCTCAAAAAGAAAAGTGGGGCATGCCAGCGGAATGTCTTAGTCGAAGGGGCAAAAATGGCAGACTCCTGGAGAAGGTGAGTTCTCTCAAAAGACCTAACAGACAGGAGAGTCTCACTCGTAGGACGCCTGAGCTGGGACCGGGGTCACTCGGTAAACACAGGGGGTGTAAATCACGCTGCTCAGAGATGGACCGGCCTGAAGTGGTCAGATGGCTGGCCTGGGGGCCACAGAAGCCCTCCCCGTGCAGCCTCCAGGGCGGGCTGCATGGTGCCCAGAGCACTGGAGCTGAGCCCACCCCACGGTGCTCCTACCAGAAAGTTCTCCTCCTGCTCTGCGGAGAGCTGAGAAACTGGCAGAAGGTGCTGCCTGGATGGTGTAAGCACAAGAAACAGGGCTGTCGCTGAGAGTTAAGCACCCCCAACCTCCCCACCCTCAATTGATTGCCACACACAGTGGTCCTACAGGATGGAGTGGAACTACTCTTTGGGGTGTCCAAGGCCATCCCCCCTTGACGGGAACCGCAGCCTCGTCTGTCTCCTGCTACTGACAGTACCTGACCTTCCTGCCCTGGGGAGAACCGACACGCAGAAGAGCCAGGCTCTCACACCTAAGGACAGACAGACACACTGCTGCTTGTCCCAGCCATCCCAGCACCAGTGCGGTGGCCTGAAAGGTGGGGGCAGACCTGAGACCCAGTGGTGAGCTGGGTCAGCCCCAGAGGGGCAGGCAGGCCGGTCAAGGGAGGCACCACGTTGGGCCCCACATCCCCTCCCTACAAACGCCTAGGCTGCACCTTTGTCTCATAGTGCGTCACACCTGCGGGCCCGTATGTTTTCAACCTCCTCTGCCCACACGGCCCCGCAGGAAGGATCCGCGGCCGCTGTGCCCCAGCGCCTATCTCTGTTCTTATCAGGCAGCTGATTTTACACGCTGCCTGGAAAAGCCCCCATGGAGAAGCTGCCAAGCTGTTCCCTCTTTGCAGGGCTCCTAGCATCTAATCGAGCAAGAGGAAGTCAGGTCAGGTCTGTGACAAGTCCAGGTGACGACCAGCATCCTTTCCCCTAAAGACAGCTCCGTGCTGCCCCCTATGGGCCGTGTCCTGAGCGACCATGGATATTCTCCTGAGTCAGTGGGGTTGGTCAGGTGTGGAGCAGAGGGCAGGGCGTCCCAGGTGTCCATCCTCAGAAGGGCCACAGACAAGAACTCCCATCGCTCCCCTCTTCCAACAGGCTCTGAGAAGATGCACCTGAACTTGGTAGAACTGCTGCAGGACTAGGGTAAAGCAAACACAGGTGGAGCAAGGGTCCAGCCCTGTAGCACCCTCCTCTCTACCCAGGCACACGCCATCTTCAGGGGCCATGGTCCCATATCCCCAGCGCACATAAAAGTGTCTCTGGAGACTCAGCGGGGACCGTGGAGCCTCCGTATTGTCGGCTTGGTCCAGTGGAGGGGCAGCTAACAAGAGGAAGTCCCTCGACAAGCTGGACAGACACAGTGGCTCTGACATGAGGACAATGGGGGGGGGGTGCGGCCCAGGGCCATGCAGTGTCCCCTTGTTGTACAAAGGTCGCCTGGTCAGTGCCCATTCAACGGCACCCCACAGCCTCCTCCGCTTCTGTGCTTGTCTGCCATTCACCCACCCGGGTTCCTTGTGGTACCCCCACCACCACTACCAAAAACAACAACCACAACAATTTGACCCCATGGTGCTTCTGAGGTCGGGCTCAGCCGGGGGGGACGAGGGACATTTGACGTCACCCGCTGAGGGGCGCTCTGCCTTCCAGTCTCAGCCCCCAGGACAGACAGTGTCCTTCCACCCGCTGGTCTATTTAGGGCCACGCGGGGGCAGGTTTCTGCTTTGGGTTAGTGGCCGGACACATAAAATGACCCCCAGACGTGGCGCTTTTGTGAGCGCGGCCTCCTGTCCCTAAGCAGGTGGCTGGCTGCAAGGCGCCTCCCAGGGACACCCGTGGGTTCGCGAGGCTGCTCTCCAGCACAAGTTGGCCTGATGTGGGCCACAGTGCATGCGACAAAAATAACAACGCACTTCCCAAAAGGAGACCCCAGACACGGCCTCATCAAAGCTGGGTGCTGGCTGGCTCATGGAAACGCTGTGGGCAGGGGCACCCAGGGGCCTGGCCTGTCTTTCTCCTCGGGGTTCATTCGCTCACTCCGGCCCGTGGTCAGTGCAGGTCTGCGTTACGGGGAATAGCGAGAACTGACTGTGTTGAGCCGGCCTCTGACCTGGGCCCTGGCTTCCCACATCTTCCCAGACTCCTTTTCCTCATGCCGCAGTGTCCCTCCCAGCCCCACCAAGGAGCTTTCTCTGCTTCTCTGGTACTATGGGAACCCCCAGGTGGGCTTGATGGACCTCCACACTTCATCCAGGCAGGCCCCCAGGGCAAACACACAGGCCCTCCTCTGCCCTCAACTCTTCCCCCCTCCCCACCAGCCCCCGTCTCCTAGTCAGACTTCAAGACCCTGTGAGGGGCGGACTCAGAACCCAAAGGTACCGCCACAGGCTCCGCCCACACATGAGAATTTAGTCCCGGAGGCCAGTGGGTCATGTGACAGAGTTACAGCTCACCTGCCCCAATGTACCTGTTCATCGTGCATGGTTCTGGGATGTGTAGTCCCTTCACCACCTAGCTCCAGAACCTTTCGTCACCCAAAACACAAACTCAACTCCATCCTCCAGGCCACCTCTCCCCGCCTGCTGTCGCTATAAACCCTGGTCCCAGAGCCAGAACCCACTCAGGCCAGCCCAGGGACCGCTGCACAGGGTGTCCACAGTAATCCTTTATTTAAGACCATTTCTGCACGTGTAACTCCATGAGGTTGATCACAGAGCTGCATGGCCATTCTCAGCCTGCTTTTCTGAGTTCTCCACCCCCAGCCCCCAGTGCCCCGTGGGCCCTCCCCCATGGCTGGTGTCCCTCTGACCCGCCGAGACCAGGGGTTGGGCAGCAAACTGCAGCTTGCGTGCCATTCGCATCTCTGTCGGTGGGCACACGCACATGGCACTGAAGCAAAACTGAGACAGTTTTAAGGACATTACTCAGAGGGTGGTGATCCCATTTGTTTGCAAAAACACATTAGGGCTCTCAAATCATTTACATTGTTGGGAGGGACAGGCTTGGCTCTGCCGCCTCAAAAGGCAGCCAACCCCTGGGACAGACAGTCCTTAAAGAGCGAGCCCTCTCTGCAGGTGTTTTGGTATGAGGAAGGCTGGCGCACTGTGTGCTTTAAGAAGACGTCAGGGGAGATTTGGGGTTTAAGTGTTAAAGATGATCTCAGGGCAGTAGTTTCAAGGGTTCATTTAGCCTCCACGGCTCCAGAAAGGTTGGGGTCGTTAAGAATTCCAAATTCTGTCCCGGATTTTCCCCCTCCGAAGTCCTCTTTACAGAAGCAGATGGCTCGGCGGGTGGGTTAGAACCACTAACGTGTCAGCTAGCAACCGAGCACTTCGGCCCTGCAGTCTCTCTCTATGGAGGTCTCTTCTGGGCATTTTGTACACGGGGGAGCCTGCACTGGGCAGCCCTTGGTGTCTGGCTTCTCTGCCCAGCATGGTTCTCAGGGGGACTCCACGTTGCAGCAGGAGGGACATGGGCTCCTTCTGATAGCCAAGTCATATCTTCCCGCCTGGACAGAGCACCTTCGCTTACGGATGACATTTGAGTTGTTGCTACTGCGTAGCTAGAAGGAGTCACATTGCTGTAAACACCCATGCACACGTCTGTCTGTGGATGTCTTTCCCTAGGAACAGAGGTGCAGGGCGTACGGGGTTCCCGTAGCTAACAGTTCGAGGGACGTCCCATACTGTTGACATCCGCACCCACAGTAGCATCCCCAACACTGCCTGTTCCAGTCAATAAGGAAGACCGAAGACAAATGGGTGCCTCTGAATTGGGGTGCTGGTGAATTCTGGAAGCACCTGGGCTGCCAAAGGACAAAGAGACTGGTCTTGGAAGAAGCACAGCTTCGTGGAAGCAGGATGGGGAGACTTCATCCCACATACCTTGGACACGTGGTCAGAGGGACCAGTCCCTGGAGAAGGACATCCTGCTCGTAAGGGGGGCGGGGCGGTGAAAAGGAGCAAGGCCCTCTACAAGATGTATTGACACGGTGGCTGCACCCGTGGGCTCCAGTGTTCAGGCAGTCATATGGATGACGCAGGCCGGGCTGTGTCGTGGATGTGCATGGGCTTCATGTGAGTCGAGACCCCCTGGCCAGCACCCAGCCACAAGTGGGGCTAAGGAGTCCTGGTGGTGCAGTGAGTAAGCGCTCGGCTGCCCACCACAAGTCTGCTTCTGTCAAGATGACCGCCTGGGGTGCCCCGCAGGGTTGATCTCAGTGAGCATGAAGGGGCATCAAGTGGCATCTCCTTGGAGTCCTGACTTACCTTCCCAGGTGACCGAGAGTGGCAGGTCTTGTCCTGATCCAACGCCTCAGGCTACAGCTCTCCCTTCCCCTTCTCAGGGACATCACCCGGGGCTTGCTCCCAACCACCCCAGCCAGAAATCGTTGCTCCCTCACTCTCCCTCCCAGCCCACTCTACGTGCCCACGCGACACTGCTTTCCCCGCGGCTAGGCTCTGCACCCGCACACACACTGAAACAGAACTGGCATTGGGAAGGCAAACCTCACTGGGGTTTGGTGCCTGGAAGCAGTCACTGCAAACCTACGGCTTTGACGACAGTACACTCACATCAGCTCCTCCTTAGGCGCTGCCCGGGCCAGAAGGTCCTCCTGCTCCTTCTTCAGCTTATCCACGGCTTGGGCTTGCTTTTCAATTTCATTAAAGCTTTTATTCGCCAGTTTCTGGGCTCCCAAACTGCCCTTTTTGGCCCCAAGCTGGAAGACAAGGAGAATCTCTGAAAATGTCGGTAACAGGGCTGGCACGCACGGAGGTGCACTGCGGCGTGCCAGGCAGACTGCGGCAAGCGCGTGGCATGCGTACCCTGGCGTGGGCCTCACAGCTCTGGGGTGCTGGGGCTCGCCCCTGGCTCACGGATGAGGAGACACCGGCTCGGGCGAGGGAAGTGACTTGGCCACGCTCACACAGCCGCTAAGTGGCCAAGCCAGATTCAAACCCTCCTGTTGGCTGTCCTGACAGGCAGTGGCCCCACCCCCAGGAAGGCCTTGCTCACTTCCTTCTCCTTGGTTTGCTTAGTGGTTTGCCACAGACAGGGGGCATGTTAGTCTCCCTTCTGGAAAGGGTGTTAAGTAGGACAATCACCGCAGAGAACAAAGCAAGGTCACACTGGTTGTATTAGGGCTTCAACGAAGAAAGCAAAACAAAAACAGAAATGCGTCCAAAGATGGTGACGCCCCAGCTTCCCGGAGCACGAGCTAGCGCAGAGCCGGCGCCCCGTGCTTGTCTTCCACGCGCAATACTCACGCCTTTCCTCGCTTGAGCCGGCTTCTTCTTCATGATGGAGCAAACCTCTGCTAAAAAGGAGAACAAGCGGTCAGGTCAGTAGCACTCGTAAGTAAGCAGCTCTGTCACCGGCATGGTCCTAAAGAGGATTCGGCTCCCCTCCCCTCCCCATTCCCAGTGGGGGATGGAATGGTCACATTTTCCACACCTGGGTTGTGGTCCAGAAGACTCAAGGGCAGGGGAGGGGAGGGTGCTGGGGGCAGATATGCAAACATCCATGAGCAAGGTCCCCAATTTTTTCTTTCCGTTTTCCCACTGGCTCTGGGGAGCCCGAGATAACAAGATATGCGTGCACAGGCCCCTCACGCAGTACCCAGCCCTGGCGAGGATGAGAGCTTGGGGAAGCCCAGCCCAGAGAGAGGAAGGGGCCCAGAGCTCCTGCGCTGGCAGTTTCCTTAGGAGTGCTTGGTGCATTGAAACGTTAGCGAGCGAGCACTGCGTTAAAACACAGCATGGTGCGGGCACCGTGTGCGCAGGGTGAACAGGGAGGGGTGAGAGTCCTCTCCCATCCTCGCTCCACAGCTGCGCTCTGGGTGCCCTCGAGCCAGGGCCGACTCCCCTACAGCATGGGGTAGAACTGCCCCTGTGGGTGTCTGAGACTGTCATTCTTCACAGCAGAAGAGAGCCTCATCTTTATCCGGAGGAGCAGCTGGTGGTTTCGAACTGCTGACTTTGTGATTAGCAGCCCCATGTGGAACCATTCTGCAACCCCCCTCCCCGCTCCTGTCACATGAACCAGTAAGAAATAAAAAGCCAGGTAAACAAGCAGCCATCTAGCTCAGAAGCAACAAAGCCCACATGGAAGAAGCACACCAGCCTGTGTGATCACAAGGTGTTGAAGGGATCAGG